ACTCAAATTCCTCAATGTTTTAACTTAATTAATTAGTTAATTAATTTACATTTAACTAATATTATTGTTAAATATTATCTCATTAATAATTCACAATAATAATTCACAATAATAATTCACACTAAACTAAATAAAAATAAAGTTTCAACCCGGCCTAGCTATATATATTATGCATCCCATTAACAATAATTAACTAATTTAACTTATTAATTAGTTAATTTCCATTTAACTAATATTGTTAAATATCATTAATTCACAATAATATATAATTCACACTTAACTAATAAAGTTTGAATCCTAACTTAAATCACTACAAATCCTAAATTATGCATTAACAATAATTAACTAATTAATAAACAAATTAAACCTAATCATAATCATTGATCAATTGACTAATATTTAAATCTAACTAATATTATCAACTCATCAAATTCTAAACCCATTTCCTCAATGTTTTAACTTAATTAATTAGTTAATTTCCATTTAACTAATATTGTGAATTATTATTGTGAATTCACAAAAATAATTCACAATAATAATTCACACTAAACTAAATAAAAATAAAGTTTCAACCCTAGCTATATATATTATGCATCCCATTAACAATAATTAACTAATTTAACTTATTAATTAGTTAATTTCCATTTAACTAATATTGTTAAATATAATTAATTCACAATAATATATAATTCACACTTAACTAATAAAGTTTGAATCCTAACTTAAATCACTACAAATCCTAAATTATGCATTAACAATAATTAACTAATTAATAAACAAATTAAACCTAATCATGCATTATCATCATTGATCAATTAACTAATATTTAAATCTAACTAATATTATCAACTCATCAAATTCTAAACCCATTTCCTCAATGTTTTAACTTAATTAATTAGTTAATTAATTTACATTTAACTAATATTATTGTTAAATATTATCTCATTAATAATTCACAATAATAATTCACACTAAACTAAATAATAATAAAGTTTCAATCCTAGCTAGCTATATTAATTATGCATCCCATTAACAATAATTGCTAATAAATAATAATTGGTGATAATTAATAACCTAATAATTAAGCTAGCTAACTAATTAATTAAATCACTACAAGTCACTAATTAATTAATCTATAATAAGCTAGCTAATACTTAAATCATCACTACACATCCTAAATTATTATGCATTAATAATAACAATAATTTAACTAATTAATATTTATATTTAAATTTAACTAATTAAATTACGTTAATAGTTTAATAATATATTGTTAATAATATGAAAATTAACATGACCTCACTAAATTACGTTAATAGTTTAAATAAATTAACAATAACTAACCTCACTAATTAATTATTAAGCTAATAGTTAATTATTATTATATAAATAAAAAAGAATCCTAACCTCACTAATAATAATTAATTAATTAAGCTAATAATTAATTTATCACACAATTAAAAGAAATTAATTAAAATGACATACCTTATCAGCATAAACTCGGAAAATGATGAACTGACGGATTACATCATTCAATCTTTAAACCGATACTACATCACTCGAATCTACGAATTTTTGAACTGATTGTTGTTCTTGCAATTGTAATGGACGATGGAGTTGGGTTATATAAAAAACTTTGTCACGGATTTGTCACGGATTTATCCGTGACAAATCTTTTTCTGTACCGCATTATTAAAGGTTACCGCTGGAAAATCAATAATTGAGTTTTTTGAAATTTGTCACGGATTTGTCACGGATTTGTCACGGATTTATCCGTGACAAATCTTTTCCCATACCGTATTATTAAAGGTTACCGCTGGAAAATCAATAATTGAGTTTTTTTTGAAATTTGTCACGGATTATTCACGGATCTGTCCGTGACAAATGCCCGGAAGCAAAAAAGTATTCACCGGAGTAAAAAACCGGTCGCCGGAGTAAATTTGTCACGGACCAAATAATTTTCGTGACAAATCCCAGAATTCCGTGACAAAGCCCGTGACAAATTTGTCACGGCCGGAATCCGTGACAAAAATCCGTGACAAACGGCGTGTTTTTTTGTAGTGCTGGCCCGGGCGGTTCGGGCCGAGTCCGGGTCAATTTTTTTTTCAATTTTTTTTTTCTTTTCCTAGGGTAGGGCTGGGTGTTTTGGGGAGGTTTGGGGGTTGAGGGTGAGGGGGGGGGGGGATAACAAGAAAGCAAAAAAAAAAATAGACATTGAACCGGGCTTGGCCCGACCCGGTTAGGCCCGAACCCGGTATCAACCAGGGCCGGTTTGGGCCAACCGGCCCGGTGGGATGGCGGTTCGGGCTCGGGCCCTTCAAAAGGTGAACCGGCCCGGCAGGTTTGGGCCCGGGCCAGGCCATTTTTTTTTTTTTGATTTTTTTTTTAAGTTTTTGGGTTGGGCTGGGTATTTTGGGCCATTTGAGGTGGTTAGGGTTGGTTTGGGGGTGAGGGGGAGGGTTGGGGGTTAACTAGGAAAAGCCAAAAAAAAAAAAAAATAGAATCAAGACCTGGCTTGGCCCGGCCCGGCCCGGACCCGGGGGTTACCCGGGCCGGTTCCGGGCCTCCCCTTCATGAACCGAGGCCTGGCCGGGCCCGAACCGGAACCGGTCCATGCCTGTTTAAGGCCACATAAATTTTTAAGCTTTATATTGGCATTTGTACAAAAACACACATCCAACTGAGCATATGAATCAGAACAAAAATAATTGGTCTACTTTGGATTTCAGGTTGGCAAGTTTTAATTAGGGGTAGGGAGGAAATGAGGAATCAGAAACAAAGTAGGAAAAACTATTCCGAATTTGGTTCCAATTTAGGTCTATTTCTAAATAAAGTTAAATTTGGGTAAAGAAGAATAGCAAAACAGCGGACTTTGAAGAGCCGGCCCTAGGGGAAGCCCAGGCGGCCATCCCCAATAGGGATGGACTCGGGTCCGGGTCGGGTCTAGGCCTGGGCGGGCCGGCGGTTCAGGAATGATGGACCCGGGACCGGCCCGGGTAGCCACCGGGTCCGGATCCGGGTCCGGGCCGGGTCGGGTCGGGCCTCCAGTTCGGATTTTTTTTTTTGCTTTCCTAACCCCCCTCCCCTCACAAACCCCCCCAAACCTATCCTACCCATCAAGCCCAACCCGGGTGGAACCCCAAAAATGAAAAAAAATAAAAAAAATTCAATTTGGCCCGGGACCGGGCCCGACCCGGCCGGGCCGGTTCACCAAATTTGAGACCCGAGCCTGGACCCGCCCTACCCCCCGGGTGTAGGCCCGACCCGGACCCGAGAACCGGGCCAGTCCCGGTCCCGCACAGTAGCGGGCCGGGCCGGTACACGGGCCGGGTGGTCCGACCAGAGGCTATATTAAGACCATTTGGATTTTGGAGTGATGTTGAGGTTAAAATGTCAAAAATGAATTCCGTCCATATGAAAATAATGTTTTGACTTCTATTTTTCTGCATTGCAGCACCGTCAATAAAACAAACTCTGCATATTTTTTTACTTATCAATTTAGTAAAACATTAATTAAATTATTAAAAGTAATGTTTTCCTTTTAATATTCCCCTTGAATAGTCATGAAATAAAAAATACACATTTCGATGTAAAAATAAACAAATTTCATTAATTTTTTTAATGTTTTTCGGTTAACAAAAAATGAACTTAGTTCAAGTAAAGTTTGGTTATAGAATATTAAGTTATTTGTAAAGGTTTCATGAATTAAAAATTTGTGTTTTGTGTTTTTTTGGGCTGAAGAAAACTTCAAGAGTTAGAAGTTCATTTTTTCCACTTTATATACTCCCTCCGTCCCTATATAAAAGTATCCATTCATTGTACACACATCTTAAGAAAGTGGGTTTGGTTGGTACTGTTTGGCACTGTTTGGACACTGTTTGGCACTATTTTGCACTGTTTTGCACTGTTTTGTTTGTCAAAAAAGGAAAGGGAACTTTTATTTAGGGACGGCCCGAAAAGGAAACATATGCTTTTATTTAGGGACAGAGGGAGTATTACATATTGGTGTAATATGAAAATCATAAAAATTATGAACTTTGATATATTTTTTGAAAGGACGAATAAGGAAGTTATATAAGTTTAAAAAATTTAGGATATAATGATGCAAGAATGATATTAGCATGACATCACCTGCACCCAAAGAAAACATGCAACATTCCCATTTTTTTTTTCTTTATTTTTTCCTTTTCTCATCCTCTGAATAGACCCCTCTACATTTAACCTCCGCCATCTCATTTCTCACTTTAACCGAAATAGAACCGAAACCAAAGATAACCGAACCGAAAACCAAAATGCCCACACCTAATTTGGAGTAGTGGGAGAGTTCAAATGTCAAAAATGGACTCCGTCCATATGAAAACAATGTTTTGACTCATATTTCTCAGCATTCCAGTACCGTCAATAAAATACACTCTGCACATTTTTTTACATATCAATTTAGTAAAACATTAATTAAATTATTATAGATAATGTTTTTCTTTTAATTTTTTTCTTATAAATTATAAAATAAAAAAGACACATTTCGATGTAAAAATAAATAAATTTCATTAATAATTTTATTTTACGTTTTTCGGACATAATATTAATTAAAAATAATGGAAAAATAAAATAAATTATTTTAACTATTAGATTTCAATTTCAGCCGTTGGATCAATTTTTTCCCCGTTCGAACAGTGTCCAAATCATCACAACCGTTGGATCTACCAATATTTTTAAAAAAGAGTACTCTGTGACATCAGCACGAAGTTAGTCTGACATCAACACCCTAAACATTTCTTGCGCATAGTGGTTGACTCGGTTCGGGCCGGGCCCGGTTCGGGCCTAGAACCGGCCGGGCCTAAGTTCTAGGAAGGCAGGCCCGGAACCGGCCCGGATAACCCCGGGTCCGGTTCGGTTCGGGTCACCCGCCCGGTTCACGGGCCAGGCCGGGCCTATTTAATTTTTTTTAAAATATTATATAATTAGAATAATTCTTATTACAATTACAATATATTATATTCGAATTGAAGTATATTTATTTCAAATAAGAAGTACAATTGAGAATTAGGATGAATTTAAAAAATGTAATACATTTTGTAATAAAAAATCAATCGGACTCTCCGCCTTCGGTTGTTTCCTCCATAAAGTGGCGGGAGGGAGTGATGGTAATTTCTTGAGTTCTTCGTTGGGCCTTCAACCAATCGTGAAAGCAAACTAGTGTCTCAAGAGAGCTCAGGCTCAACCTCGTTCTATAATCGGTTAGGACGTTGCCGGCCACACTGAATTCTTGTTCCACGGCAACGGTTGATATCGGCATTGCTAGTACTTGCTTAGCCATCTTTGATAAAATCGGGAATGTTCTTTCATTTTCCTTCCACCACTTAAGAACGTCAAAGTCATCACCAACTTCATAATCAACATTCAATGTTAGATACAAAGAAATCTCGTTACCTGAGCTTTGTTCAGTAGCGGGAGTTGCTCTACTTTTTTTCAAAAGAGAACCAAAAGCGGATTTTAAAAGTGATTTTCCTTTAGATGAAGAAGATGTTCGTTGCATGGGAGGGGGTGCATTACCATATTGTGCATGAAATTCATTATACAATTGATGAAATAAATTACTAACCTCGTTGAATTCTTGTTTAGGGTCGATGGGATTATCATCGAACTCTTGAGTTGGAAAAAAAGAAGCATAATAGTAATCTATACAATTTGCCAAGTAAGGAAGTTTATAACGAGGATCAAGAACAAATGCAATACCATATATATGCGGAATATGTGAATAATATTTTAAAAACTTTTGTTTCATGAAATCACAAAAATAACTAACGTAAGTGGCGTCGGAAAATTCACAAAAAGCGCCGGCGAGATTAACAGCTTCAACAAAAAATTCGTTTGCGGTAGGTTTATAAACATGACTAAAAGTTAGAGTTGCGTTATTAAAATATGCCAAAACATTAACAATTTTTTCACAAGTGTCGATGTCAGCCGGGTTTATAATATAGTTACAAGTTTGTCTTAAAAAAGCTGGAAAATGATCTTTATATCTAACAAGTACTTGAATTAAATTATAAGTACTATTCCAACGAATAGACAAATCTTTAGGAAAAGCACAATAATTCACACGTCTATCCTTCAAATATTGCCGCCATTGCATTTTTAGTGGAGTGTTAGCCCAAATCAATTTAATTCCCCCCTTCACTACCTCCAAAGCATTTCCTAATGCCGCTAAGCCATCTTGTACACACAAATTTAGAATATGCATGACATGCACAACGTTGATGAAAAAATCTACCCATCAATGTAGAAGCACCACACAATTCACGTAATCTAGGTATAGCAGCAGTATTATTACTAGCATTATCAAAACCTACAGCAAACACCTTATCAATCAAATTATACTCAATTAAAATACGTTCAATGAGAATATAAATATTATCAGCAGTGTGACGATCATTGAATTCACGAAAAGCAATAACACGTTTATGCATATTCCAATCATCATCAATATAATGTGCAGTTAGACCCAAATAATATAAATGATGATAAGTATCCTCCCATATATCGCTACAAATACTAACACGTCCATCAAAGTTTGCGAAAAATATTTGTAATTTTTCTTTTTCCAAGTTATATTGCCTTATAACTTCTTTTTTAATCGTTTTGCGACTATAATTTCTAAATTGAGGATTTAAAGTACCTTGAGCATAATCTCTTAAAGCAAGACTTTCGGAAAAAATAAAGGGTAAATTTTCTTCAACAATTAAATGAGACATACCAGTCAAATGTTTTTTATCATCATAGGAAAAATTACCAAAGGGTTGAGAATTTGCAAACCTTGATATTTGTGTTTGCTTCCCCCTTCCTTTGTCTATTTTCGCATACTCCACTAAGTGGGCGGACTGAAGATGTCTTTTGAGACTCCCGTATCCGCCAGAAGTTCCCAAGCTAAACTCTTTCTTGCAATGATTGCAACTTGCGTACCATTTTTCGGTTTTTTCGTCTTTCCTTTTTGTATAATTGTTTTCAATAATAGGAGATTTAGATTTCTTACCAATTTGGGTTGTAGTCGTTGAAGGGCCCTCGTCCTCTTGCTCATCATCCGGAGTCCCGTCACCCCCCGCGTCCTCCTCCCCATCGTCATCCTCGAGCTCCTCTTCATCGATGGTTGTCGGGAATTGTTGTTCTTGTGCAAAACGTGGATCATTTTGGGACAATAGGTGTTGTAGTTCCTCGTCGGACATCATCATACCATCTCGCCGTTGGTAATCCGTTTCAAAATCATCTCGACTTTGAAAAGAAGACTCGGCCCGCGCTTTTCCTTTGCCTTTGCGTGAAGTAGATCGAGTCGATGCAATCTCCCTCTTGCGGTTGCGTTGGAGATTACCCACATCTACAGAATGTCTACCACGCTCCATCTTTAAAATTGAACAAATATTAGCAATTAACTAATATGAGAAATGTAAAAATTAACTAGTTTTGTTATTTTAATGAGATATGTAGCAATTAACTAATATGAGAAATGTAAAAATGTAGCAATTAACTAATTAACTAATATGAGAAATGTAAAATTGTAGCAATTAACTAATTAACTAATATGAGAAATGTAAAAGTTAACTAGTTGTTTTTACTTTAATGAGATATGTAGCAATTAACTAATATGAGAAATGTAAAATTGTAGCAATTAACTAATTAACTAATATGAGAAATGTAAAAATGTAGCAATTAACTAATTAACTAATATGAGAAATGTACAAATGTAGCAATTAACTAATATGAGAAATGTAAAAATGTACCAATTAACTAATTAACTAATATGAGAAATGTAAAAATGTAGCAATTAACTAATATGAGAAATGTAAAAATGTAGCAATTAACTAATTAACTAATATGAGAAATGTAACAATAATTAAGTAGTTTAACTAATATTAATATGACAAATGAAACAATTAACTTTAACTACTTTAACTAATATTAATATGACAAATGAAACAATTAAGTAATTAAATAGATAAACGAGAAGTGTATATATAAATTAAGTAATTTATATATATATATATATAGTATATATAAATATATAATGTGTAAATATATTATAAGTAATATATAATATAATGTATAACTATATATAGTATATATAAATATATAATGTGTAAATATATTATAAGTAATATATAATATAATGTATAACAATATATAGTATATAATATAATGCGTAAAGAATTATAATATGAATGTGTATAAGTATATATTTATAAGTAGATAATTAATATTATAATATATAAGTAGATATAATAATTATATAAATTATATATATGTAGAAAGAATTTGGAGAAGATGAAGAATGAAGATGATTGAATATGAGAGATTGAGAGAATAGAGGATTTAGAGAGTAGGAAGAGTTGTAGAAGAAGAGGTGTAAAAAATGTATAGAAAATAGGAGTATAAATAGGTTTTTTTTTGTATACCCCACCCCCACCCCACCCCCCCTAACCCCCCAGACCCCCCCTCCTATGCTCCCAACGGCTATAGAGCCGTTTGGGAGGTCTCCCAACGGCTAGTAGAGCCTTCAATTTTTTTTTTTTTGTGACCGTTGAGGCCCGGACCGGGCCCGGCCCTGCCGGGTCGGTTCACCAAAATATCAGCCCGGGCCCGAACCGCTACATGACCGGGCCGGATGGCCCGAACCGTGACCTAACCGACAAACCGGGCCGGTGCGGGCCCGCACAGTAGCGGGCCGGTCCGGTTCCGGGCCGGTTGGCCCGGCCCGAGTCCACTACTACCTGCGCACATCCCAAATAGCCACATGGTCCACTGGCCTTTTCCCCCTTTTCCCCTTTGCGCACCACATGTGCCGCCCCCACCCCTTCCCTGTTTTAGCCTCCCTCCTTCTACACCCTTCATATATACTCCCTCCATCCCCTTCTCCATTTTTACTTCCCATTTTAACCAACCACAACAATGATTTAGGAGTCCAAAAATTCCACTTTTAACATTTTGGACTCCTAATACCCGACCACTCCAAATGGTCTTATAATATCCCTTTTAAACTCCTACTACACACAATTAGGAGTCCAAAAACTCCACATTTAAACCTAAACAGCCTAGAAAAGGAGTCCGTACGATGTCAACCAAAAACTCCACATTTAAGTCCACATAATACATTAATACCCCAAGTAACCCTTTAAACCCTTGATTATCTTTCTTAAACCCTTCAATCCATCTCAATTTTCAAGTTTCAACCGATTTGTTTGTTGATTTTTGTTTTTGTTTTTTTTAATAGTATGTTGCCAAAACTTGTGTGATATTCAAGCTTGATAGATGTTACCAGCTTACATCAATTTGGTAAAACAATGTACTTGAAATTTGTGTTTGATTTTATCTTAATTTTTTAATCTCTGTTTTTACGAATTGAAATATATTTCTTGATTTTATCAACAGAAATGTTGGCAGCATTTTGGGTTGTAGATTTGTTTCATGTTCAAGTTCGTTTCGTTCATTGTAGTTCGTACTGTTTTGGCTTTTATTTTGCTTTATTACTAGCCTTTTGGGTTTATTTCCCTAGTTTTTTTCATAGTTTTTTGTGTATTCATGTTATGTTTTTTCTTCAATTTTTGCTGTTATTTCCTAACATTTTGCACTTTTGCTGTCCTTTTTCCTTTGTGTGTGTGATGTTTTGTTGTTTTTATACGTAGTACTCCCTCCGTCTCAGAATTTACTTTCATAGTACAAATGGCACACGGATTAAGAAAGTAAGAATTGTGTGATGGAGAGTTGTGCAGAGGAGAGAGAAATGTGTAAGAATTGCTGTGAATCACAAATGCTTTGCCAAAAAAGGAAAGGGAAGTTCTTTTTGGGACAAACGAAAAGGGAAAGTTGGAAGTAAATTATGGGACGGAGGGAGTATGTTTTAGCACATTTTAGCTGTTATTTTTTATTGTCCAATGCACATCAGCAACTCAATGGGTGAAGAAATATTGGTTATTCAGACTCAAAATGAGTACTAAAATTTTATAATTTAGCTACTTATAACAGCTAGTTTTGCCAAACATGGCTATTTAATTAAAAGAGGTAGATTTTCAGTTTAAAAAAAAACTAACCGTTACCAAAAAAATCTATAAAAGATTTGATAGTTTTTTGGATGTTAACAAATAGGAGTAATATACTAGTATACTACCTTGTTAGATTTGATTGGCTACAAGCTTACTACTCAATCACTTCATTAATTTTGGATGTTAACAAATAGGAGTAATATACTAGTATACTACTTTCGTCCCAAAATGAAGTTCTTATTCACTATTAACATGATCAATTTAAATCACTCTTAATCTTTTGCTTTATATATCAATTTTTTATCAAATTTAAATTTTTTAATGTAGTTTTTGAATATATAGATTTTATTGACTAAAAATAATCTGAGTCTGAACATGGATCAAGTTACTTTATCTTCAGTCAAACATCGGAAATCGAAACGAGAACTTCTTTATGGAACGGAGGGAGTACTTAATAGGACTAAAATTTTCTGAGACCTGATCCTAAATAAATCCAATATATATATATAATTAATTAATTTTTAAGATAGGAACTTTATTTATTATAAACTTTGACTTTTCATTTCAAGTAATCTTAATAATATTTAACTTGCTAAATTATATGCAACTTTCATAAAGAAAAAACCATTGAAAGTTACAATAAAAACAATTTAAGAACTGTCTATTTATGATTTATCAAGTTTTATGGAGTATATTAACAGTTTGTAGTCATTATGGCTAAAATTTATACATTTTATCGGTTACAAATTCTTGATTGATAGTTAACGTATCTTTGGAGTACGTTGTATATTACAATAATCCTTAAAAAAATGTTGCCAAGCTACTAAACTATAAAAAATTAAAATCCTTCATTTTTTCTTCCCTCACAGACGATTAACTTGAGTGCAAAGAAGTTGTTTGACTTGTTTACATGATTTGATCTAGGTTTCTTGTAATAATTGAAGAATGTGTGTACACCAGCAAATTATAATTCACAACCTTATTTACCATCAATGATGAATCATGAATGCTAAGTAATCTTACTACCATATTAGAGTCAATTTAATTAATCAAACAGGAAATTGATCTAACTAATATTCTAAAAAAAATTGACAGTAATAATCTCATTATTAGAATAATGACCCGCCATTATTAGAATACTACAAAAATAATCAATAGTTGAGATTATTGTTAACGGATCGACAATAATGTTGTGGATTGAATCTACATTACAATGATCTTAGACCGATTCCACGGTTTAGTTTTCAAAGTTTCAGTGTTGACTCAACTCCAAGTCAATCGTGAGTCTTCTCCCCTGTTTTCATTAATACCTCCCGCCCCTGCAACTTCTCTCAATCTTTTTGCCTCCTGCTTTGAATCCGATTGATTTTGCTCCATTTATAACCACATCGAGCCTGCCTTGTTTCTCATTATTAAGTTCCCATTCACAGAACTGGCAGATCTGAGTATCTAATTTTCATTACAACATATTTTTAGGCATGAAAATTCTTTGTCAGGCAGGTACATTGTTTTGCCGTTCCAATAGAGCTTCAAGGAAGGAAAGCAGCAGAAAGAAGAAGAGTGAAAGGTTAGGGGAGAAGAAGAAGAAGATGATGATGATTGTTAGTGGTATAAGGTGTAAGGCGCTTTTGATGGCTAAAATAATATCTTGGAGGAAGGTTGTGGCGGAGGATGATGATGATGGAGCTATATGGAAGAGAAATGTTGTTAAAGGGCAAAAATGTCAGCCATGGAATTTTTCAGGCAAGATTTCCTACGATTCCAACGGTGACCGGGTTTTGGGTCCAGAATAAGCACGTTACGGTTGCCGCCGTCCGCCCGTCTGGCCGGAATGATGCACGGCAGACAAATCCCCACTCAACGGCTGCAAACATTTTAAATTGAAAATAGGGATGTCCTTAAAGTTTGTACGGTACGTTTATATGGTGCAAACGTGCAGTAGAAGTGTATTGTACCATACGCACGGTATAACCGATTTTTCCTTTACGTTGCGCTTCTTCGATCTTGTTTTGTTTCTTGATCGCCATTCACAGCAGGATCTCTGCTCTTTGTCACCGCGCTCTTCTCCTCAAGCACGAACGCCTTCCTCCTGTGCAGAGGCGATGCCTCTTGGGGATCTTCTCTGTTCGACGATGCTGCGAGAAGAAGAAGTCCAAAGATGACAAATTGAGCGTGATTTAGGAGTTCGATGTAGTGCTGAGTAGGAGCGTATATCTCGAATGAGTTTTATATTAAACTAGTATAGTACCAATGTATACGCACGTGAAATGGTAGTTGGTGCATATATTTTTATTTATGATCTAATTAAATATTATCACAAAACATCTTTTAGAGTTCTACATTTTCGAAAAAAAACTACAATAAACTGATACCATAAAGTATAAGCACACAAAATAATTATCTGATGAAAAGTATCTATATCTATATACTCCCTCTGTCCCATTTAAAGGTTTTCGTCCACTATTCTCCGGTCAACGGGCATTGTTCTTAATCTTTTACTTTATATATCTATATTTATCAAATTTAAATTTTCTTGATCAGGCTTTGCAGCGGTTTTAATGTACTTTCTGAATATGTAAATTTTATTTACTAAATATAATTGTACTAATGACAGGGATCAGTTAACTTAATGGTCAGTCAAATGTCGTAACCCGTGTGGGAACGTTTAAATGGGATGGAGGGAGTATATATTAAACTAAATTTTTAATAATCACCGCTACCTTCTTCTTACGTTTCACTCTCTTACGCCTCTTTCTTTACCCTCTTCTGGACTCCTACTCGTATCACCTCTACAATGCCTAGAGTATTGTGTTCAATCTGGACTCCTACTACTTCAATCGCCACTACTGTCTGGACTCCTACGAACCATTTGGTTTTGCCGACAACTTTGGAATTGTTTCCCAAGCCTTGGAGAGTCCATCTCAGTTAGTATTCTATGTGATTTCAAACTCTTTATACTTCATACAGAGTATTTATATAGATGTCTTCTGCACTTAATATCTGAATTACCCTATTTAAATTCGTCTAAAACCCTAGAATTAGAGAAAGTCATATATCATCTCTATCGATTTTCCAATGGCTGACCGTGCTCCCTACAAGGCTGTTTTGAAGAATATTAATACGCAGCTGGACGACAAGGCTGTGTTGTTTCTGAGAGTAGTACGCTGATGGAGTATATGGACTCGGACCCCCGTGTCTCACGACTATTGGGCCCGGACAGCAGCCCACTCACGCTTATCGGACGTCATTTATATCATTTGTATTATTGTAGAGTTCATATATCATTTGTATGTACTAGATTAGCCTTTTATGTAATTGGGTCTATCGGGCCCATATTAGTGGCTCGACCCATCGTTTCTCTATTTATACTCCCAAAGGGAGCTCTTGTAAACCTAAGTCTCAATTTTCACAACTCATTCATACATTACTATTCATTCATCTTCTTTCTCACACTAGCTCAAATCTCTCCATTTATTATATAGTTTGGATCCCTATAATCAATCAATGGTGCTTTCATTGAGAGATTGGACAGTATCAAGTTAGATCCTCCCCAAATTCATAAAAAAAATCCACAGCAGATTCATAAAATATGATGAAATCGGTGGAAAATTCTGGAAATTTGATCCGAATTTTACAGATCTGGGAAATGGCCATTAACGATTTGATTGTAAAAAGAAATCAAAGGTTTTCTGAAAAAAACGAAGATCAAATCCCAATCTGTAGATCAAAGGAATCTCGCAATGGAATCTCTCTGGCGCAACAGGCTCAAAACATCATCCGGTAAAACATTACTCTCAGGTTCTCTTCGGATCTACTGTTCTCTCTAAATCTATGGCGGATCGCAAGCTCCAAGAATCGAGACCACAGAATCTGACGGATTTTAACCCCCATAGCTCTCGCCAAAAGGGTTCTAGGTGGGTTTTATTTTATAGAGCTCGGATTCTGATGGATTCCCCCCATTCATGGCGGCCAGAGCATTTTCTTTGACAACAAACTACTACTTCAGATTATATTTTGGGGCGTATATCAGAACTCCCTGCTGTCGACACTGTCTTCTCTCACAGCAGAGAAGGATTATTACGGGTGCTTCATCATCAACAGTTGAATGCCTGCAACCTGGTGTGCCGTTTGAGTTGACCTGCGAACTATGATTTTTAACAGCCGAAGGTCCTTCATGAGACGGATGAGGTGCGTTTTCTGTTTTTTCTTATGGCGTAACCCCTGAGAGAAATCTCAGTGAAGATGGAGGGCTTGAGTTCTATCGGGCCAGAACTTGGTTCAAGTCAAAATTAATGGGCTGTCCAACTGTGATGAGCTCCATTATCAACACTTTATCCATTATTCTGGCCCAAATAAGAGCTAAGTGCTCAATACTCGTATTTATACATTTAAAATATTTATTAAATAATAGTAGTATAATTATTACTATTATTAATTAATTATATATTTTCCACCACCATTATGGCGGGTTAAAAACCTCCGAGGTGGTGAAGACCATTATGACGGATTAAAATTTCCCGAGGTCGCTAATGATGCATTATTATTGGCATTAATATTTTTATCATCACCATTAGAGCGGGTTAAAAACCCTAGAGCGGTGAACCCGAGCTCTAGTCTACTGAACATCTTTATTTGATGATTTGAATTATGTTTGGGTCCATCGACCTACCCTAGTCACCTTTATTTGGTGACTCGGACATCTAAAAATGAGAGCCGCTACCGGCCGCACATGGCATTATGCCAGAGAACGGTAAACGGTACACCTCGTTCTCCGAGACGCTAATCGCGTCGCCCAAAAGCCGTTGCCATGAACAACGCACCTATTGTATTCCGCTTATTTTTTGGAAAGGTAAATAGAAGATACCACGTATCGTATCAGCAACCTTAGAGCGAAGGGCTCAGATATGCTCCACTGTGTATTTTGTATCAGCGAAAGGCTCAGGCCCAGCTGAGAGAGCACGTCGTATCGGCCCCTTTGAGCGAAACGCTCAGGCAAGGCCGATGATGTCCACAGGACGACGGGCCCGCAAACGGCCCACGTCTTGAAATGGAAAGTTCATCGCGTCGTCCACGCGCCTGATCGCAGGACGACGGGCCTGAAATCATGGCCGAGGTGACAAAATCCCCAAACTCGGGGTCGGGCAACGGCAGCCGTTGGAAACCAACCAAAAGTCTAGCCCGCGTCATAAATAGGCGACGGGACCCCCCTGAGATCATGGACGTTATAAACGAAGTCCAAACCGGCCGGAGGACTATCGACCCCTTCGGCCGAAGCCTGAAAGAAGGACACTCCCCGAAATAGGGAACGAAAAAAAAAGAGGGAAGCCAAGAATCGCGCGCACTCGCCGGCCTCGAGCAACAAAAAATGAAATCCCCACAACAATACTAAGTACATATCAGACAAATACTATACATGTCAGACGAGCGCCCAGCACCGTACCTCATCTTAGACGAGCGTCCAGCGCCGTCCTTCATTTTTAGACGAGCGCCCAGCGCCGTCCCTCATTTTTAGATGAGCGCCCAACGTCGTCCTTCATCTCAGACGAGCGCCCAGCACCGTCCATCATCTTAGACGAGCGCCCAGCGCCGTCCCTCATTTTCAGACGAGCGCCCAGCGCCGTCCCTCATCTCAGACGAGCGCCCATCGCCGTCCCTCATCTTCAGACGAGCGCCTAGCGCCGTCCCTCATCTTCGGACCAGCTCCACCGTCATTCATGTTCAGTCCGACGTCAACTCCTTGCCCTTCCTCATATCACGATCGGCCCCTTGGCCTCGGCGTGATCATCTATATCAAGACCGGCTTCCTCAGCGCCGCGAGTCTTGAGCTAGCGATCAGGCTCACCATCCCTTCCTGGATGGTGACCATCGCCTTTATATGACGATCGGCTTCATTAGCGCCTCGTCATCATATTATAGGACTGACTCCTCATTGCCGTTATCCTCACATCACGACCGGCCCCTCAACCTCAGCGTGATCATCTATCTCAAGACCGGCTTCCTCAGCGCCGCGAGTCTTGAGCTAGCGATCGGGCTCGCCATTCCTTCCCGGATGGTGACCATCGCCCTTATATGACGATCGGCTTCACCATCGCCTCGTCATCATCATTTGGACCGACTCCTCAGTGCCTTTGTCCTCATATCACGACCGCCCCCCTTGGCCTCGACGTGAAGATTTATCTCGAGACCGGTCTTAGTCATTCCTTCACCGGATGTCGACCGTTGCATGGATCTTCGGACCGACCCTCAGTGCCTTCGTCCTCATATCACGACCGGCCCCCTCGGCCTCGACGTGATTATCTATCTCGAGACCGGTATTAGTCATTCCTTTACCGGATGGCGATCGTTGCGTGGATCTTCAGACCGGCCCCTCAGTGCCTTCGTCCTCATATCACGACCGACCCCCTCGGCCTCGACGTGATTATTTATCTCGAGACTGGTCGTAGTCATTCCTTTACCGGATGACGACCGTTTCATGGATTTTTGGACCGGCCCCTCATCGCTGTCGTCCTCACATCATGCCCGGCCCCTCGGCCTCGGCGTGATTATCTATCTCAAGACCGGCTTCCTCAGCGCCGAGAGTCTTGAGCTGGCGATCGGGCTCACCATCCCTTCCTGGATGGTGACCGTCGCCTTTATATGACGATTGGCCCATCATGGCCTCGTCATCATTTATTGGAACGACTCATCATCGCCGTCATCCTCACATCGCGGCAGACCCCTCGGTCTCAACATGATCTTGAGCTAGCGATTGGGCTCACCATCCCTTCCTGGATGGTGACCATCGCCTCTATATGACGACCGGCTCATCATTGCCCCGTCATCATATTTCGGATTGGCTCTTTTCATCGCCATCCGCGCATCACGATCGGCCCCTCGGCCTCGACGTGACTATCTATCTCAAGACCGGCTTCCTCAGCGCCGAGAGATTTGAGCTAGCGATCGGGCTCGCCATCCCTTCCTAGATGGTGACCATCGCCCTTATATGACGATCGGCTTCATTCTTGCCTCGTCATCATATTATCGGATTGGCTCATCATCTCCGTCCGCACATCACGATCGGCCCCTCGGCCTCGGCGTGATTATCTATCCCCAAGACCGGTCTCAGTCATTCCTTCATCGGATGGTGACCGCTGCTTGGACTTTTGGATCAGCCTCATAGTGCTGACGACCTCGCATCACGATCGGCCCCTCGGCCACGACGTCACACCCTATCCCAACACCGGCTTCATCAGCGCCGAGTGTGTTGGGCTAGCGATCAGGCTCGCCATCCCCTCCTGGATGGTGACTATCGGCTCTATATGACGGTCGACTCCATCATCGCCTCG